GATCTGGGGCTGGACAAAGAGTGTGATAAAGTCTGCATATAAAATGCTTGCTAAATGGGTGTATTGTAACAAAGGCCAGATGTTACAATGTCTGGTACTTAATTATGGTGTCCAATGCAACTATAGGGGATAGGCAATAAGTCCTAAATTGAATACTAAGGACATAGTACGGCCATATTACGCTTAGGACATCACAGATATCTCCCTCTTATACATATATGGACGACAATAGCCCCCTGTTCTTGCTATACGTCCCTCCAATGGCTCCAGAATTCCTAGCACTCCTTTCTAGGCACAGCCATTTACACAGCCATAGATTCAGATAATATTCTGCCCATGGTTGTAGTACCTACCACATATACTACACTATCTGTGTATTATTATGACATGAAGGTTGGCAACACTGCCCAGCTACCTTAGGGAGATCACTCCTACTTTGAAATAAATAAATTCTATGTCCTTAGTATTCAATTTAGGACTTATTGCCTATCCCCTATAGTTGCATTGGACACCATAATTAAGTACCAGACATTGTAACATCTGGCCTTTGTTACAATACACCCATTTAGCAAGCATTTTATATGCAGACTTTATCACACTCTTTGTCCAGCCCCAGATCCTACCATTTGTTAGCTAATCTTGAGGTCCTTCATATATACCTTTATATATGCCTTTATACATGTTCCTCTTCTAGCCCCTTTTTGACCATATAGCCTTATTTAGGCTTAGTTCTCATTTCTACCACAGCCTAGCCTCATATGACCTTATGTATTTCCTATCCACTTTCTCCATTACGTTGGTGGCTCCCTGCCCCTGTTCACAGGACTAGGTAATCATACTGCCAGAACAAACATAGATATAAGGATGCGCCTAAAACTTGATAAAATAAAAGACTAAATTAGTCAGATAAAATACAGAATAAAATAAGTAATAAAACAATAGTCCAATAAAATAGGCTTATCACAGTCCGTGAGGGTAGGTCCCACTGTAAAGGAATATTCTTTAGGGTGTAGGTGGGATCATATCTTCAAATGTTGAGAATTCAGCATATGTGGAGAGAAAAATAAAAACAGGACTCCAATGGCACAGTAAATCGGTGTATAAAATAAATATAAAGGTATAAAATCAGTCTTACTCACACTTTTCAGAGCTTGGATCAGCTCTTATATTGCTCGCGTAAAGTGGAATAATCCCCACTTCAAGGATATATGGAGTAAATGTTGATTGTTGAATATCTGACGTGGGTTCAGCGTTCAATTTGACGTGATACGACCCAGAGGAAAAATAAAATAAAATATATAGTGCTCACTGTATGTAATAAAATTAACAGAAAGTAAAGTATACTACTCACGTAAAGTAGAGCAGACTCAAAACTGCTCAGTGAAGGCGCTCAGGTGGTATAATCCCCACCTATGGATTCTTTGCACT